GCAAGGATGTGGGGAAAAAGGGACACTAACCCACTGTTGGTGGGAATGCAAACTGGTCAAGCCACTATGGAAGTCAGTCTGGAGAGATTCCTCAGAAACCTGAGTCATCCCACTCATCCCACTCCTTGGAATTTACCCAAAGGAATTTAAATTGGCAAACAAAAAAGCGGTCTGCACCCTAATGTTTATTGCAGCACAATTCACAATAGCCAAGACCTGGAACCTACCTAAATGCCCATCAACGGTAGACTGGATAAAGAAATTATGGGATATGTACTCTTTAGAATACTATACCACAGTAAGAAACAACGAAATCCAGTCATTTGCAACAAAATGGAGGAATCTGGAACACATCATGCTGAGTGAAATAAGCCAGTCCCAAAGGGACAAATACCATATGTTCTCCCTGATCGGTGACAAATGATTGAACACCAAAAAGGAAACCTCCTGAAGTGAAATGGACACTATGGGAAACGGTGACTTGATCAGCATAGCCCTGTTAATGAACAACTTAATACATTCTCCCTCTTAGTAGTTTTTTTTTGTCTGCTCTACTTAATATGACTGGTTTAATTATGTAATTATCACATAGTTATTCTTAAGTGTTGAAATTTGACTGAAATGTGATCCCTGTTAAACATAAGAGTGGGAATAAGAGAGGGAAGAGATGTACAATTTGGGACATGCTCTAGCTGACTTGCCCCAAACGGTGGGGTTAGAAACATAGCAGGGGACTCCAATTTAATCCCATCAAGGTTGCATGTACCAATGCCATCTCACTATTCCAAGTGATCAATTTCAGTTCACAATTGATCATAATGAAAGGACTAAGAGTCAAAGGGAGCACATAAACAAGTCTAGTACCTGCTAACACTAACTGACAGAATAAATAAAGGGGAGAGTGATCCAACATGGGAAGTGAGATACTCAGCAGATTCATAGAATGGCACATGTCCTAAATAGCACTCTCGCCTCAGAATCAGGCCTAAAGGCATTCGGATCTGGCTGAAAATCCCATGAGAGTATTTCAGGCATGGAAACCCAAGACACTCTGGCAAAAAAAAAAAAAAAAAAAAAAAAACTAAATGAAAGATCTCTGTGAGTGAGATCCCAGTGGAAAGAACAGGTCTTCAAAGAAGGAGGTACCTTTCTCTGAAGGGAAGATAGAACCTCCACTTTGACTATGACCGTGTCTAAACAAGATAAGAGTTGGGGAACTCAAGGGGCTTCCATAGCCTTGGAAACTCATGACTGGTGCATAGGGAGATTACTGATGCCATAAACAGGAGTGTCAATTTGTAAAGTCAACAACAGGAGTCACTGTGCACTTACTCCTCATGTAGGATCTCTGTCCTTAGCATGCTGTACATTGAGATTTAATGCTATAACGAGTACCCAAACAGTATATTTCACTTTGTGTTTTTATGGGGTACAAACTGTTGAAATCTTTACTTAATGTATACTAAACTGATCTTCTGTAAAACAAAAAAAGGAAGAAAGAAGAAATTATCAATTCCTAACTGGATCCTCACTGGGATTAAACATGACTATAGGTCTGATTTAATTTCATCATCTATTATTTTTCACTTTATGTTTCTGTGTGGGAGCAAACTGTTGAAATCTTTACTTCATGTATGCTAAACTGATCTTCTGTATATAAGAGAATCGAAAATGAATCTTGATGTGAATGGAAGGGGAGAGGGAGTGGGAAAGAGGAGGGTTGCGGGTGGGAGTGACGTTATGGAGGGAAGCCATTTTAATCCATAAGCCGTACTTTGGAAATTTAGATTCATTAAATAAAAGTTAAAAAGTACTTCTTGTACAAATTGCTTTTATTCCTGTCTATGCATATTCAACACCCTAGCCCAGTAAGAACACTTTAGCAACTTTTCCTTCCTCAGAGTAATAATGCAGCTTCAAAAATGTAAAGAACATATAAAGCTTATTTGTGCTGCTTCATCTGTCCTGATATTTCATTAGGCCATCACAGCATAAGTTTCTTGATAAAATATAATGTTTATACATATCATCCATATGTATAATTTATATACACTAGCTCCTCAAATAGTGACACACACTGAATATGTATGAGGAAACTTTAAGCAGCTTGTGGGAAAATAGGAATAAATTTTGCTTGCTGCAAAAATTTTGAAATCTACACATGAGTTTTTCATCTGCATTTTGTACAAAACCTTTCTTTTTTGATTAGCAGTATTGCATATATTTATAGGGTACACTAGGACATTCCAAAAAAGTGTATAATGTGTACTCAAATCAGGGAAACCACCACTTCCCTGTCATTATATCATGATTGGATCTCTGAAGTTCTCTTGTAAGTGCTCAGTGAAAATAACAGGCCAAAATGGATGATAGTGGAAGATATAATGCTCAGAAAAATAAACCAGGCAGAGACACTGCTACTGCATGTTCTCTCTTAAGGCAGCTAAAATCAAAAACCTAAACTTCAATCTGAAGAAAGACTGATTATCACAGGCTGAAGTGGTAGGGATAACAGATGCCAAACCACACTTGATTGAGGGAATATGTTCTTAGCATCAATAGCATAGTGCGGTCACTCTGGTTCACAATAACTAGTATACCTCTTATGAACAAACAGAAGTAACTCCAAACCTCCGTTCCTACACAATGTAATGTAAAAGAGAAATATTACTTATCCTGATTTGATCTGCACATTTCCTGAGCTTGTGCTTAAATGTCAGTGTTCCCGTAAATATGTAGTATTGTTTATATTTAAAAGGAGGAATGAGGCTGAAGTCAGATTAAAAGTATGTCTCTGTGTGTGTGGCATTCAGATAATATGTTGTAAAAGGGCAATGATGACAGTAAAGGGTTTGGCAGTCAAAAACACAGTGGATTTTCAGTATATGTTTTAACCACTATAAATGTTAATATCCTGATTTGTGATGCATCGGCAATTAGAATGTCTAGTGTATGAAATAATAACTATGATAAAGAGGTATACTAAAGCTGTGCTTCTACCAGCCCACTATCCTCACACATATGATGCGTACTTCATCTCTGTAGTATTTAAATGAGTTGCTGAATGCTGTCATCTCCTTTCATGATGAGATACCGGGTGCAAAGCACAGTGCTGCGTAAACAAATTTAAGCTCAGGACTTACTGAGGAACTTCAAGGTCAGACCGACTGTACTGCTGTCCAATTCCACTTAGATGTTCAAGCAATTTCAATGTCTCTAATCAATCAAGGGTACTGTGTATTGACTGAGCTTAAGAAAATCCTCTACTGTTTCAACATCAATGTGAGGACATCAATTGCCATTCATTTTAGGAATACAAGTCTTAAATAACCAAATGGAAGAAATTCACATGTATGATGCTAACAGGCACAGATTAATTTGTACTACATGACAAACAACAATAAGCGACCCAGACTACATTCAAGCAGAACAAAAACTTATGGCTTGGGGTGCACCTTTATATACAGGTGTTTGTCCTGGGTCACTTAACACATATCCATCCTTCCTACTGTCACTGGAGAAGTGCGTGTTCACCTGTGTGTCTGCACAAGCTCGGAGAGGCCAAGTGGTGGGTTACCATGGCCTTTGGCTCACCCATGAAGGATCTTACTTCCTTCTTTCCATAAAAAGCCTGCCCTCCAGCCAGACAATGCAAAGACAGAGCACTGGGGGAAAGTTGGGACAAGGTCTGGGTTATGTTCAGAGAAGATTAAGAAACATGTGATGAACTACTAGTCAACATGGAAGGACCGAGAGGAGATGAATGCAGGACAGAAGGGTATTAAAATTCATGTGACTTAAGTTCCGCATTTCACTTTTTTCCTGTGTCAAGCACATATTCATAGATGTTCTATATAGGAGACAGTAGTGTGGAAGCATTAAGTGGAATGGGTGAAATTCAGTATCTGCCTGGAAGAAACTGTGAGATTACAGGTATTCAAGTATACAAGAAATTAAAGGTAGGTATTTCATAAGATAGACTAGGCCTCCACATGGGAAGAGAACGAGAATACCTTACATCTTCTCTCAATAGAGCAACCCACTACTGGATAGATCAATGTGTATAAAATTTTCTTTGTGTTCTGAAAATCTCTCTACCTATATTCTCCTCTTCACAAAGTTACCACAGAAGCCCTCTCAGTGTCCTCTTCCTGTTGTGGGATTCAGAGTATCGGGGAGTGTCCTGATGAAGATGAAGTGTGCTCTGGGTTCCCTGGGCTCCTCACAGCTCTGTGGATGTTTTGTTCAGAACTGGTTTTTCATGTTGTTGAGGGTTATTTAGAAGCAGCACAGAAAACCTGCTCCATCTATGTCCAGCCCAGCTTTGACTGTTCGTTCACTGGAATGCTGCACTACACTGGACACCTGAATTCAGGCCCTGTGCCGGCCTGGCTGTGAGACAATCAATTCAGGAAATGTTGGAAGCTTGTCTTATTGCTCTCAGTCACTCTCAAAATCTCCTGCATGGGCCAGCGCCGTGGCTCACTAGGCTAATCCTCTGCCTAGCGGCGCCGGCACACCGGGTTCTAGTCCCGGTCGGGGCGCCGGATTCTGTCCCGGTTGCCCCTCTTCCAGGCCAGCCCTCTGCTGTGGCCAGGGAGTGCAGTGGAGGATGGCCCGGGTGCTTGGGCCCTGCACCCCATGGGAGACCAGGAGAAGCACCTGGCTCCTGCCTTCGGATCAGCACGGTGCGCCGGCTGCAGCGGTGGCCATTGGAGGGTGAACCAACGGCAAAAGGAAGACCTTTCCCTCTGTCTCTCTCTCTCACTGTCCACTCTGCCTGTCAATAAAGAAAAAAAAAATCTCCTGCATGGTTTGGTAAACTGAGGACAATTTATATGAAACACTGCTTAAGTGATCTGCTGAAAATAGGAGGGCACTTGATGTGTCCATGAGTTAGTGATATAACCTTGGATATGAACCAGACCTTGCAAAAACTCTATGCTACACTTAATACTTCGCAGGCGGTCACTTGGGGTATGAAAATTTGATGCTGTAAGAAAGAGAGTAAGATGTAAGATTTATTTAAATTTCCTAAAGTGGTCATGAGAGTCCTCTAGAAGGCAAATCATAAATAAAAACAACCAGCCATGATCCAGGACAGGAGAGAAAAGCCCTGTTGTCCCTCTTATGTAGTTGCTTATATTTAAGGAAAAAGTCTGCACTTAAGGGTTCCTAGTGAATACCGTGGAAAATTTTTCCCAGAGGATAGAGTAAAGTCATCTACTCAATACGGGTCTTGGAGTAATTGGGGTTTCTTACTTGTCTCTTTCCATTCATACTCCTCAAAAAATTGGCTCTCTTTTACCTATGGAGAGGAATGGATCCCACTCTAAGGAGTCCTCTGATAACAGTGATGGTGCAGTGTGGAGATAACAGGGGGACTAGGGCTTCTTAGTGCTGATAGGCTGTCTCAGGAGGGCGTGGCTGCTCGCTAATGGGGGCTGGTAAGGGACTAGATTACTGGTGTGGGAATTTCTGCCTATCTAGCTATTTCTCCTTGTATCCAGATGTCTTCCTGGTGGACTTCTTTCTTTTGTTCCTCTTCTCCATCATGTGCCTCTTGCTTTCGAGCCAGGTGAAGGCAAGATGGAAAACCTGGCAACTAAAGTCCCCCTTGACCCCATGCTTCACATGGTCTACAAGGTCCCCCAGGCTGGAGAAGACTTGGCAGCAGGCCATGCACTTGAATCCTCTCTCTGGGGTCACCAGCCACTCAGGTGTGCTGGCCCTCGCCTGCAAATTCTCTTCTGCAGCTGACAACACTGCCTGGCAGCTGGAAGCCTCCTGATCCTGTTCTTTGTCTTCCACACTGTACGTGGAGTCATCAGTTACAAGATACTCTGAAGACTGATAGCAAAAGCTGGGATCTGCACGAATCTTGACAGGAAAAGCTACATCTTCAATTTCTGATCTCTTTCCGGGAGGCACAAGTTCATCTTGAGTGTAGCAGACAACGCTGGCATTTCTTTTCCTCTGGACTCTCGTGTAATAGACTTTCATGAGCCTCTCCTTCCTCATATGTGTTTCTGGTGTGCAGGGCTCATGAGCCAAATGGAAATTAAAGCAGCGGCACTGGGTCGGGTTGGGAGTCTGATGTTGCTTCAGATCCTGGAGTAGAGGTATCTTCCTAGACTGGATACACAGGGCCTCTTTTTTTGATTTGCAGATTTCTAGGCAAGAGAACGTCAAATGTAAGAATGCTGGCAGAACGTCCTGAAATCTGTGGGGTTCAAGTTGGTCTGAGGGTCATGTGTGTGAGAGGCACAGTCTTCTATGTGTGAGGTGAGGTGTTTGGTTACCATCTCTTAGTATGTGGAAGAGAGTGCATGAGTCTGGTGGAGGCTGATGTGTTCTGTTATATATCTGGTAATTTTTGGGTGTTTCTGAAAGGAAATTATGGTGTGTATGCATTCTCTGCCATGACATGCATTCTGTGGGGTGTGTGTGTGTGTGTGTGTGTGTGTGTGTGTGTGTGGTCAATGTCTTCATGGTGTACACGTTAAGTGGTATTTGTGTGTGTGTGTGTGTCTGATGAACGGGCTTGTGCCTCTATAGGTCTAAGAGATGGTAAATGAGCATGTTGGAGAACACACACAGAAGACTCAGCATCTGCATTTCTTTGAGGGCTGAGGGGCATTTTAGACACAATGACATGTGAGGAAATGCTGTGCGCCTATCTGTGAGTGAACTGAGTGAATTTTGTTCAGACATAAATGTATTCTAGTGCGTGACTTTGAACTAGGAAGATCGATGTGTTATTTCTGTTAGAGGATGTGAAGGATGACTAAATGTAAAGGAACGCTGCTGCAGGAAGGAGAGTATGAGAGTGTTCACATAAAATATCATAAGAGTGAATGATGCCAGCGTCGCAGCTCAACAGGCTAATCCTACGCCTGCAGCACCAGCACCCCAGGTTCTAGTCCCGGTCGGGGCACCGGATTCTGTCCTGGTTGCCCCTCTTCCAGGCCAGCTCTCTGCTATGGCCCAGGAGTGCAGTGGAGGATGACCCAAGTCCTTGGGCCCTGCACCTGCATGGGAGTCCAGGAGAAGCACCTGGCTCCTGCCATCTGATCAGTGCATTGCGCCAGCCGCAGCTTGCTGGCCACAGCGGCCACTGGAGGGTGAACCAACAGCAAAAGGAAGACCTTTCTCTCTGCCTCTCTATCTCTCACTGTCCACTCTGCCTGTCAAAAAAAAAAAAAAGAGATGAATGAAAGGAATGGAGGTGGATTTGAGGGGACTTCCCAGAGAAACAGAAAATCTGGCCATCTATGATATGGAGCTGGAGGAACAACTGCATGAGGAGACTGCGTCAGTGTGCTAGGAGAAGCTCGGCCTACACCATCATAATGTTAGCACAGCCCAGGGCTCAATTAAAGCCATCTGAATGATGGCAAATTGTTACTGAGAACTGTGAATCATTCTTCTTACACTCCCTATGGGTCTCTTCCTGGAGTCCTCATCCTAGTCTCTGTGCCCTGAAACACTCTCATATTGTGAGCACAGTGCAGAGTGAGCAGGAGTTGGCACGGGGATCTCAGCTGCAACATTCATCAAAATTCATATTTTCCCTTAGAATCTGCCTTACCTTTTGTTTCCACAGCAATGGAATCACTCAGAGAAGAAACAAAGCAGTCAACATCAGAGTTGGAGAAATATTCTTCTGACTTAGGATGGGATGAGAATGTCGCACATGACTCAGAAGCATTCTCCAGCGCCTTAGATATTTCTGTGGAACAGGATGACAACATGACAACCCTGAGATGCAACTTCATCTGGGTTCTGCATCTATTCAAATGAACAGTGCACAGAATGCATATATTGTTTAAGGCATTTGTCCCCAAGGGGCCTTGCTGTCACAGGAATAGAGATGATTTCAGCATTCAGTGAATACCAACCAACTGCTCTGAGCTGCATAAGTACCCTGACCACAGTCTGCCTCCTGGACAAAGGTTCTAAAGAAAGTGTTGTATCTGGGTGTTGAAGGCTAAGTGGACACAATGCATACACACTTGTTTGTGGAGTCCCTTTTGATGCACCTGTTGAAAATATGCTGTCAGGGTGCAATCATTGTAAGAAATTGTAACATTCATTTATCTATGTCTCCTTCATTCTCTTTAACAATTGCATGATCGCTGTGAAAGGTTGCGTAATCCTGCCCTCACAAACTGTTCATGTCTCGATCAGGAAAGCCCCAGGATGGTCCCTAGTATGTCAAGGATGATTTTACAGATGGTACTGAATCATGGATTTTGAGGTGGGGCGATGATCTTTTACCACATATGTAGGTTATAAATGCCATCCAAAGGATACTTAATAGAGGGCATGAAGGTCAAAAATGGGTGAGTTCTGACAGATGGAAGCAAGAGCTGGAGCTAAGAATTGAGAAGCTATCAATCCCAGAGTACTAAGACCATAATCCAAGTATTAACAAGCAAGGGCATTCTCCACTACAAGCAACAGGGGACTGACCAGTCCTGCAAATATAAAGAATGCGAACCTCGCAAGCCATATTTGTGTTATCTGTCCCCCTGCTGCCGGGTCTGTAAGAGAACAGTTTACAGCATGTGTATTTCTAATAGGTAAGCTCGCGGTGATATGTAACAGTGCTTTACACGGTATAAGCTTATATACTAAGCTTGAATTAAGGCTTTTTCTAACACACGGGAGGTCCCTACATACCTAATACTCTTAGGTCCCTAGTTCATAGTTGCTGGTAGGACTAGTTTTATCCATAATCTGAACAATAGCAGGACCTTAGAATATGACTACTTTGGGTCATTGACATGGTGTTGAATTCAGCAATTTAATCAGGGCTGATTTATCAGTTCTGAATTGGTATTATTGTTTTGGGGATTTAAGCCATCGAAGCTTATATGCAGTCACATACTCTCAAAAGACTTAGCTCAGAACTTGTTCCTGAGGGCCACACCATGAGTTCTGTCGATTTTATCAGTGTACAGACTGTGTCAGCTACTGTTGCACTTACTTCTTCCTTTGATAACCTTTTTAAATGTCTTTATTTCACCCCTATTCTTGTAAGAGGGTGACTGCTCTTATGGGTACACTACTTCACTCTGGGACAAATGTTAAACAGCTTGGAGACCACACGTCTGTTTCCCTCTCCTATATACTGGTGTGCCCCACCTCAGCTCACACTGCCCTTACCAGAAATAGGGGATACATGTGAATCTGAGTGGCCGAGGTGGCAATCCATTTCATCAGATGTTTCATCGGACTTCTTGGCCAGGGTCTTTTCCTCCAAAGAGTACGCAGGTTGTGCATCACACTGGTGTAGGGTTGAGCTTTCTGGAACAAGCAACAGTGGTCATGGGTGTACACATGTGGCAAAGCTCATTGCTTTTTCCTATTCCTGCATATTCTCAAGGTCACGTATTGAGGTCTGAGAACAGACAGGGCTCCAGACATCATACAAATTCACACCTATAATATCCTAACGCATGTGTGCACCAAAGCACCTGACTTGTCACTTGGAGTTTGATAATGTTGAGTTGTCATGCATTGGGGTTTTACTCCATCACATGCACCAAAATTCTGCTCTGGAAGAGTTAGTTTTTTCACTATAGAACTGTGATGTTCTGCCAAACTTCACTTTCAAAACTCCCGACATGCAGCGTAACTGCTTTCACAGTTGAGTTTTTTGGGGGTCTCTCTTCCATACACAGTGAAACCAACATCACTGAGAAAACTGCTCTGTTCCTATAGGGACACTGTTGCTTTTATCCTCCATCACTGCTCTCTTGCACTGAGCCCAAGCAACTCTCTGCCACACAGTGTAGACGTTTTGTCCTAAAAGTTCTATCTACCATGTACCAGGGCCTGGCATCTTTCACCTGTCTGTACTTCTTCACAGCTCTTGACCTCTAAACCCTCAAAGCCACTCTCTGTCTTGAGATGTCATATTCTGCTTGCCCACACTTCTTCTGGCAGTTTTCCTCTCTCATTACAATATGCCTAGAAGAACACTATCTCAAATGAAACAATACAATATTTTACTTTACACAATACATATTCATCATTCAAATTTCACTGTTGCTCTTCTAAGTCATCACAGCTCAACACTCGGTATTTAAATCATAAGATGTACTGGGGAGGAGGCAAGATGGCGGAATAGGAAGGGAGCACACTGATAGTCCAGGGAGAGACAGTTTAATAAAAGTGGAGATACTGCAGGTTCAAGGAAGAGTAGGGGAGGAAACAGCAGAAGAAACTCTTCCGGAACGTGTGATTCACAGTGGACCTGTGTCGAGAGCGTGGGAACCCACAGTTCGGGACACCAGTGGCAGACTCAACACACCAGCGCTGGAACGCGAGGTGAGCCGAACCTCAATATCCCGAGCCACCAGCAGGCAAGTGGAGAGAGGAGACTAGAGGGAACGACACCCGGGGCGGGGGGAGTTCACCAGGCTAACTGGAAGAGAGAGAGAGAGAGAAAAAAGGTGACTGGTACGGACACGGGCTTCTCTCTCTCTGCTCACCTCTCAAGGGTGAGCAAGACAAAGAGCATGCGCCATCTTGGACATACGTCATAAGCAGAGCGACCTCAGGTCTGCACCGGCCCTGAGCCTAGCAGAAAAACCTGACTCTGGGCAGGGCGAATTATCAGGAGATTAGGACCTAGTAAATTTTTGGTGCTACTGAACTGAGACTGTGAAAACAGAGATGGTGGGGGAGAGAACTCACGGAATTCACGTGGGCACTCTCCAGAGATGCTGCAATTCCATAACTTTGGCAACCCAGTGGGAGACTGAAGGAGAATTTGAGCCCACTTTGAGGGCAGAACAGATTCCCTGTGTGGTCGTTGGGAAAGAGTTTCTGATCTCTGGCTCCTGTGGGTATATCATTTGCCTGCTAACTACCTCCAACTTCTTTCAGCTGTGCGGAATTACTTCCCTTTTGAATCAAAAAAAGAAAGACAGAAAGAGAAAGAGATCTACCATGCCTAACCTGGGAGTGTCACCTTTGGCACACCAAACAGAGCTCTCAGGCCACACCCATCTCAAGCCTCTAAGGCTCCATCAAAAACAGACAGTCCACTTAATCTAGAGTCATAGTATACCAAGAGAAAGCACCACAGTGAAGAAACCAAATATCTCCAATATGCCAAATAACAAATGCAAAAACCGAGGTAATAAAAACAAGGAAGTCACCATGACGCCCCCAAATGAAAAGACACCCCAATTCAAGATTATGAAGATGATGAGTTAGAAGAAATGCAAGAAGCAGATCTCAAAAAATTGATAAGAACATTAAGAAGTTCTCAAAAACAAATTCTTGAACTACAGAAATCCTTAATGGACAAGGTAGAAAATCTCTCTCGTGAAAATGAAAAAAAAAAAAGAAATATTAAGGAAGAATCAAAATGAAATGAAACAACTAATACAACAGGAAACTGTGATAGTGACGAGAAATCATAATGAAGTGAAGAATTCAATAGATCAAATGAAAAACACAATAGAGAGCCTTACAAACAGAATGGGTGAAACAGAAGAGAGAATATCAGACAACTTATATTTTATCAAGGATCTAAAATCAATTCCTGGAGCAAGGACAGTCTATTCAATAAATGGTGCTGGGAAAATTGGATTTCCACGTGCAGAATCACGTCACGACCTGAAAGCATCAAGTTATTGGAGAACCTTGGAGAAACCCTGCAAGATATTGGCACAGGAAAAGGATTTCTGGAAAAGACCCGGGAGGCACAGACAGTCAAAGCCAAAATCAACTATTGGGATTGCATCAAATTGAGAAGTTTCTGTACTGCAAAAGAAACAGTCAGGAGAGTGAAGAGAAAACCGACAGAATGGGAACAAATATTTGCAAACTATGCAACAGATAAAGTGTTGATAACCAGAATCTACAAAGAGATCAAGAGACTCCACAAAAACAAAACCAACAACCCACTTAAGAGATGGGCCAAGGACCTCAATAGACATTTTTCAAAAGAGGAAATCCAAATGGCCAACAGGCACATGAAAAAATGTTCAAGGTCACTAGCAGTCAGGGAAATGCAAATCAAAACCACAATGAGGTTTCACCTCACCCTGGTTAGAATGGCTCACATACACAAATCTACCAACAACAGATGCGGGCAAGGATGTGGGGAAAAAGGGACACTAACCCACTGTTGGTGGGAATGCAACTGGTCAAGCCACTATGGAAGTCAGTCTGGAGATTCCTCAGAAACCTGAAGATAACCCTACCGTTCGACCCAGTCATCCCACTCCTTGGAATTTACCCAAAGGAATTTAAATTGGAAAACAAAAAAGCGGTCTGCACCCTAATGTTTATTGCAGCACAATTCACAATAGCCAAGACCTGGAACCTACCTAAATGCCCATCAACGGTAGACTGGATAAAGAAATTATGGGATATGTACTCTTTAGAATACTATACCGCAGTAAGAAACAACGAAATCCAGTCATTTGCACCAAAATGGAGGAATCTTGAACACATCATGCTTAGTGAAATAAACCAGTCCCAAAGGGACAAATACCATATGTTCTCCCTGATCGGTGACAAATGATTGAACACCAAAAAGGAAACGTGTTGAAGTGAAATGTACACTATGAGAAACGGTGACTTGAGCAGCATAGACTTGACTGTTAATGAACAACTTAATACATTATCCCTCTTAGTATTTTTTTTTGTCTGTTCTACTTAATATGACTGGTTTAATTCTGTAATTAATACACAGTTATTATTAAGTGTTGAAATTTGACTGAAATGTGATCCCTGTTAAACATAAGAGTGGGAATAAGAGAGGGAAGAGATGTACAATTTGGGACATGCTCAGGCTGACTTGCCCCAAACGGTAGAGTTAGAAACATACCAGGGGACTCCAATTCAATCCCATCAAGGTGGCATGTACCAATGCCATCTCACTATTCCAAGTGATCAATTTCAGTTCACAATTGATCATAATGAAAGGACTAAGAGTCAAAGGGAGCACATAAACATGTATAGTACCTTCTAACACTAACCGATAGAATAAATAAAGGGGAGAGTGATCCAACATGGGAAGTGAGATACTCAGCAGATTCATAGAATGGTGGATGTCCTAAATAGCACTCTGGCCTCAGAATCAGCCCTGAAGGCATTCGGATCTGGCTGAAAATCCCATGAGAGTATTTCAGGCATGGAAAGACAAGACACTCTGGCAAAAGATCTCTGTGAGTGACATCCCAGTGGAAAGAACAGGTCTTCAAAGAAGGAGGTACCTTTCTCTGAAGGGAGGAGAGAACCTCCACTTTGAATATGACCTTGTCTAAACAAGATAAGAGTCGGAGAACTCAGAGGGCTTCCATAGCCTTGGAAACTCATGACTGGAGCATAGGGAGATTACTGATGCCATAGACAGGAGTGTCAATTGGTAAAGTCAACAACAGGAGTCACTGTGCACTTACTCCTCATGTAGGATCTCTGTCCTTAATGTGCTGTGCATTGAGATTTACTGCTATAACAAGTACTCAAACAATATGTTTCACTTTGTGTTTTTATGGGGGTGCAAACTGCTGAAATCTTTACTTAATGTATACTAAACTGATCTTCTGTAAAACAAAAAAAGGAAGAAAGAAGAAATTATCAATTCCCAAATTGGCTCTCACTGGGATTAAACATGACAATAGGTCTGATCTGATTTCATCATCATTTAAAAAAATCATCTATTATTTTTCACTTTATGTTTCTGTGTGGGAGCAAACTGTTGAAATCCTTACTTAATGTATACTAAGCTGATCTTCTGTATATTAAGATAATCAAAAATGAATCTTGATGTGAATGGAAGGGGAGAGGGTGTGGGAGAGGTGAGGGTTGTGGGTGGGAGGGACGGTATGGGTGGAAGCCATTGTAATCCATAAGTCGTACCTTGGAAATTTATATTCATTAAATAAAATTTAAAAAAAAAAGTTCACTACGATGAAAATTACAAAACCTTAAAGAAAGAAATAGAAGAGGATACCAACAAATGAAAAATCTTCCATGCTCATGGATTCGAAAAATCAATATCATCAAATGTCCATTCTCCCAAAAGCAATTTATACATTCAATGCAATACCAATCAAGATACCGAAGATCTTTTCCTCAGATCTGGAAAAAATGGTGCTGAAATTTATATGGAGGCACAAGAGACCTCGGATAGCTAAAGCAATCTTGTACAACAAAAACAAATCCGGAGGCATCACAATACCAGATTTCAGGACATACTACAGGGCAGTTGTAATCAAAACAGCATGGTACCTGCTACAGAAACAGATGGATAGACCAATGGAACAGAATTGAAACACCAG